ATTTTGTGAGATCCCTATGTAATTCTTAACAGTTTGCTTTGTACTTAACTAACCTAAGTAATTTTATATCGTCTGCAAATTTTGCCAACTCACTGTTTACCCCTTTTTTAAGATAATTTATGAATATGTTAAACAGCACTGGTCCCAGTACAGATCCCTGGCAGACACAGATATTTACCACTCTCCATTCTCAAAACTGACCATTTATTCCTACCCTTTGTTTCCTGTCTTTTATCAGTTACTGATCCATGATAGGATCTTCCCTTAATGACTGCTTACCTTGCTGAAGAGCATTTGGTGGGGGACCTTGTCAAAGGCTTTCTGAAAGTCCAAGTATACTATATCCACTGGATCACTCTTGTCCATGTTTGTTGACCCCCGCAAAAGAATTCTAGTAGATTGGTGAGGCATGCTTTCTTTTTACAAAAGCTGTGTTGACTCCTCCCCAAAAAATCATGTTAATCTATGTGTCTGATCATTCTGTTCTTTACTATAGTTTCAACCAATTTGTCTGGTACTGAGGTTAGGCTTACCAGCCTGTAATTGCCATGATCGCCTCTGGAGCCTTTTTTAAAAATTAGCATCACATTTGCTATCCTCCAGTCATCTGGCACAGAAGCTGATTTATGTGATAGGTTACATACCACAGTTAGTAATTCTGCAATTTCATATTTGAGTTAATTCAGAACTCTTGGTGAATAGCATCTGATCCTGGTAACTTACTACTGTTTAATTTATCAATTTGTTCCAAAACCTCCTCTACTGATACTTTAATCTGTGACATTTTCTCTGTTTTTCACCTAAAAACTAATGGCTCAGGTGTGGGAATTTCTCTCACATCTTGTGTAGTGAAGACCGATGCAAGTAATTCATTTAGCTTCTCCACAATGGCGTAGTCTTAAGTGCTCTTTTAGCATCTCGATTGTCCAGTGGCCCACCGATTGTTTGGCAGGCTTCCTGCTTCTGATGTACTTTAAAAAAAATCCTATTAGTTTGGCTAGTTTTGAGTCTTTGGCTAGTTGCTCTTCACATTCTTTTTCGGCCTGTTTTACTCTTACACTTGTCTTGCCAGAGTTTATGCTCCTTTCTATTTTTTTCAGTAAGATTTGACTTCCAATTTTTAAAGGCTGGGCTGGCCTTTTGCCTTCTTTAGTGTTGTGTTTAGACATGGTGGACTGTTTTTGGTCCTTTTACTATCCTTTTTATTTGGGGATATACATTTGATTTGAGCCACTATTGTGGTATTTTAAAAAAGTTTCCATGCAGCTTGCAGGCATTTCACTCTTGTGACTGTTCCTTTTAATTTCCATTGAACTAGCTTCTTCATTTTTGTGTAGTTTCCCTTTCTGAAATTAAATACAACTGTGGTGGACTTCTTTGATATTCCCTCCCCTGCCCCCAGGATGTTAAATTTTATTATATTAAGTTTCTGTGGTGCCTACTATTTCAATATCCTCATTTAATACTAGGCACTCAAGTTCACCCATCTTGTTATTTAGACATCTAGCATTTGTATACAAACACTTATAAAATTTGTCACTTTTTATTTATCTGCCTTTATGTGATGTAATTGAATGGGATTCACTTTCATTTGACTTTTTCTCATCAGTTCCCACCTGTGCTTTATCGACATCTATCCTCTCCTCTTTACTAAGATATAGAGAATCCCCATTAATAGATCTTCTCCAAGGGGATGTCTCTGTCAGAACCGGGTGCTCCTCCACAGCTGTCAGCTTTCCCCCAAGCCCTTAGTTTAAAAATTCCTCTTTAAGATGGGGTGACCAGAACTGAAATCTGGTTCCAGTGATCTGGTTCTATTTTGGTTTAACAGGAGCCCATCCTTCCTGTATTAGGGTCCTCCTTTCCCAAAAGGTTCCCCAGTTCCTAATAAGCTGGTAACATCCCTTCTTATAGCATCATCTCATCCATGCATTGAGACCCTGCAGCTCTCCCTGTCTATCTGGCCCTTCGCATGGAACTGGAAGTATTTCAGAAAATGCTTCCATTTCAGAAAATGTTTCTGAAATGTTGCAAGTTGAGGAATATCCATCAGAGTCCACCTTGGAGTGCACAGAATGGATTCCTAACACCACCACACAGTCAGGCATCAGTCCCAGTACCTTTCTTGTGGACTGACTATAATTTGCTTTAATTATTGCACTGGGGAGCCTCAGAGAGAGGGAGACAGACCAACCTGCCAGCTGTGGAATTACTGGCACAAGAGACAAACGACTGTATTAAATGTCTTAGAGCATTGTGCTTATGGATCACCTGATGAATTTCTCTGGCCCTCTCTCCCTCTGTCTCATATTTAATTTTGTCAGCCCAATGTTGTGATGGAAAGTCCATGGCTGCTGGCTTCAGGATGGGGCCCTGCGTGCACCCTCCAGCACCTTTGAGTGCCTCTTGTGGATGTGACACCACAGGGTGTTAGTCTCAGAGTCTCTCCTGGCTACATGACAGTGGGAAGGGAGCTTTTTCACAGTGGTGGTAGGCTGGCCCAGCTGGCTCCTGCCCTAGCAAGAAGGTACATCTGCTACCATCTCCATGCACCATTGCCCCCTCGTCTTCCCCATAATCTCCTTTCCAAGTCCTAGGGGATTTTATTTTTTCATTTATGTTGGTCTGTGTGTCACTGACTCACCCTCCTCTCACCCTGACTAGTTGACACTGAGCTCTGTCCCACTGATAACTGAATTCAGAATGGCCACTATTGGACTTGCTCTTCTGAGTTGAAAGAAAAGTGCAGCCGGACTCCCAAGCCAGTTGTTAGACCTCTTGAGCTTCTTCCTCCAGTTGCAGAATTGCTTCTAGACAACGTCCAGTGACAGGACTACAGCAGTACTCCTCCTCTGTACTATGGAAACCCTCTGGGATTCCCCACAAGTTAACAAGCCTGGAAACTGCCTCCTTCAGACTCAGAACACTTCCTGGAGCAACAAGCACATTATCCCTGTATCAGCTGCAGAAAACCTCCTAGGATTCCCCTAACATCAATCATTGTATTCTGCAAATACAAGGGGTATAGCATTTACATGTTTAACATATCCAAAGTTGATGTCATCATTTTTATTGAGGTATCATCTAAGACCCTACTATGCTAGACATTGTAGAAACATGCAAGATGATACCAACCCTGCCCTGATGAGCATACAATCTAATTTGAAACCAGTGAGTGAGGGGTAGGGGAACGACAAGCATAAAGACAGTAGATCATCATTGCGTTGATTAGCTATGCACACCAATTTATGGCTCGGCATCATTTGAAAGTTTTTTTTAAAGTATAGCTAACAGTCATTCTTGATGACTGCTCACTATAGCCATCATTAGTTTGTTGATTTTGTATAGGCCTCTCTGAGTAGGTCTGAAGGAGAAGAGTTTAGTGGCTTTTCAGATTAGGTGAGGGAGGGCATTCAGTGAGTAAAGGGCAGCAAGGCAGAAACTGTGCAGCTGATCATGGGAGACACTCATAAATGAGTTTTCAAGGCTGCCATCAGTGGCAGAGGGAAGGACGTGTGTGTGAAAGTGAGACTGTGAGAATGATAGTTATACAGGCCTGATCAGCTCCCACTGCAGGCAATGGGAATCTCATCATTGACTTCAGTGGGAGCTGGATCAAGGCCTCAGGGACAAGAACAGATAAGATAAGGATAAGGTAAGGATGAGACAGAGTGTGAAGGGGCTTAAAGTATTATCACTGTGGCCAACTTAATGCTGCTGTGGGAAAAATTAACATCTGCATTTCCTGACCGGAGTGTGTCTAAATTCTAAAATGAAAATGACACTGGTCCCAGACCCCAGTCCTAGACCAGTGCCAAAAAAAAAAAAAAAAAACCCCAACAACCTAGATCATGGGAGCAGTAATAAAATATTAAGGTCTGATACATCATGAACAATCAGGGCTAGAAACACATACCTTATACCACTAGAAAGTTGGGATTCTCATATTTCCACTGCTATACTGGTATACACCATTCATTTCTAGCCCTGCTGGTTGCTAAGCTCTAAGGTACTATTATCCCTTACTGACCTGTAAAAGAACAAAAAGGAAAAGACAGGCACACACAGGCTTGGCTATTTCTTCCTTCCAGTTCTATTTACTCTGGAAGGAAACCCATAGGCTATACCTTTTCTGTACTGTCAACTGGGTCAATTCTTCCTCTACTGCCCAGGCATGTAGGGGATGTATGGCTCCTTCTCTTCCACTTCTTCTAATCTTATCATACAACTCCCCAACTTTTTTTTCATCCACTTCAATTCTGACATAAATTCAGTAGCAGATACACAGCATGCACTGTCAGGGAAAGAGAGGAATGCTTTCTAACATTTGCAAGATGGTATTCTTAGCTGCTTTTTGGTGATAAAAGGCATTGGCTTCTAGCTCTAGTTGTTCTCAAGATAGTGGTTGCTATAATTATGTCAGAATTGAAGCAGGGGGTAAAAGCAAGATGGTAATCAGAATAATGCTCCAATATCTAGCAACCTACCAGGGCTAGAAACAGTTTGGGAGATCAATAAAAAGATTTTGGGGGACACTAAATGTTTCTTAGCACTGGTTGTGGATGATTGATCAAATTAAAAAAAAACAGTATTCTTAACCTTAATATTACATTACTGCACATTTTGCATTTATTATTTTACGGATTTTACACTCAGCAGGTGTTTTATTACAAAGATATTTTATTTAGCTTTCACCATTCTATATAGGGAATTGCATTTATACAATAATTTAGTATGTGATCTCAGATATAAAATAGCTGCTTTGGAACATCTTTCTGTTTAAAACCTTCTCTTTGCACCATCTAACTTTTGTGAAAATTACCTTGTTCTTTCCTCTCCTCCCCCCCACCAAAAAAAAATCTTTCTGGCAGTTCATTTTCAAGCAGCTGAAATTGGGTGCACAGCAACTAAACAATTACCTACGATCAATTCTGAGACACAGTTCAGGAAAACACATGTATGCTTTACAAGATTCCACTGTGAGGAAAGTTTATTTTTACCTGATTTGTTAGACACCCATATAATTGCCTCTGAAGAGATGTGGCTCGTATTTCCTACTGCAATTGTTAGTGGAATCTGCCACAAGTAGCTGCAAGACAAAGGAGGGGATCTAAGAACAAAAATACTGAACCAAGTCTTCTCACTCACAGCAATCAGGGATCACATCAAAGAAATCACAACACAATTTCAGTAGCAGTAAAGATTTTGATTCTAATAAGTTACTTTGATTTTAAGATGAATATAATAGTGGTAACAAACCAACGAAAAAGTCATTCATCTTAAAAAAAATACTGAATTAGATTTTTCACAAGCTACAACACAAGAGATTTTTTTCCACAAGGTTTCTAGTACAAGGTTTTTATAAAAGAAGAAAGAATGACATCCATAAAAAGATGACCACCATTCATTCATTCCTGAAAAAGAGAAACCCAAGGGGAAAACATTCTTTGGTTTAGATAGTCTGCTAAGTTTAAAAGCAACCTAAAAGCACTGCCATTCTTTTAGCATTAACTTCTTAACGTGTTATATCAGGCTTTCATTACTAGTAGATTATGACTAGTATGATTATGTAAAGTTAATGGGCCTATTCCTCTACTGACTTGCCCCTCCTGTTGTCATTTACACCTGGGCAAATTACCATTCAGATTTGGACAAATGCAGCTGGCACAGGTGTAAGGGAGAATCAAACCTCAGCATCTTCATGGTGCACAACCACGTCATTCATTGAATAAATGTCAGTAATTCATCTAAGATCTTCATAACGTTTTACCCTAAAGAGAAATTACTGCACACTATATGTCTTTTCTCAGGATATGGAAAGGATCCTTTAGGATGCCATTATTACCCCTACTTTCAACTCCCCACAACCACCTCAAACACAAAATCCTTCCCCCAGCTTGGGAGAGTTATAAATGTTTCCCCTACAGAGCCTCCTTCCAGGTGTGATTTTTAAATCAATTTAGTTAAACTGATGCAAATGTCTGTGGACAAGCACTTAATGTCCAAATCAGCTCCATGACCACCAGTATTTGTCATTTCAAAATTATTTGGTGTTTAAAAGTTTTAAACCGCAACTATCACTCCCCTGAGATTCTCTCATTCAGAAGTTTGCCCCACTTAACTATATGCAATACTTAAATGTCACAACAGCAATAAACATGCTTGCAAATGACTAATGGTCCACCAGGGAATACATCTGGCATACTGTGCTGAAAGTTACACACATCATGGAGTGCATAGCACTGAATTTCCTCAGTACGTATTCAGAGAGAAATGGTGGACTCCTAAAAAGGAATCTAAGGGCTTCTCTACATGATGGGGTAATGTGCATCATGAGGGTCTGATTTTTAAAGTGCATTAATGTGTTGAGCATTAATTGGTCTGTGCAGACCCTGCTGGTGTGCTTTAACATACTACTGTTTGAAACATTACTATGTTAAAGTGTACGAGGGCAGCAGTTCTCAACCAGGAGTCTGGGGCCCCCTGGCAGGATGCAAGCAGGTTTCATGGGGTCTGCCAAGAAGGGCCAGTGTTAAGACTCGCTGGGGCCCAGGGTAGAAAGCCGAAGCCCTGCTGTGTGGGGCTCAAGCCTGGAGCCCCAAGCCCTGCCACCTGGGGCTGAAGCCAAAGTCTGAGTTTTGTGTAGCCCCCTTTGGTGTGGGGCCCTGGGATTTTTGAATCATAGAATCATAAAAGATTAGTGTTGGAAGAGCTCTCAGGAGGTCATCTAGTCCAACCCCTTGCTCAAAGCAGGACCAACCCCAACTAAATCATCCCAGCCAGGGCTTTGTCAAACCAGGCCTTAAAAACCTCTAAGGATGGAGATTGCTTTCTACCACCGAGCACCGGCCCTGGCTTTTACATGCAGAAAAACAGCTGTTATAGTACCGACGGGCAGGGGAGTTTTTATAGCATGCGGGGGGGGCCTCAGAAAGAAAAAGGTTGAGAACCTCTGCACTAGGGAACCTTTAGTGAGCATCAGCAATGTCTACACAGACCAATTAATGCACAACATGTTAGTACTCTGCAAAAATCACATCCCCAAGGATACATTACCCCACTGTGTAGACAAGTCCTAAGTTACTTCTGTCTCCCCCCACTATTTTCAGATGGCATCAATGTTACATGGATTATTTGATTCCTTCGCTTATTACAATCCAAATGCCTGATTCAGCAAATACTAATGCACATGAGTAGCTTTACACACTTGATTTCTCACATACATAAGTGTTTGCAGCATCCAAATTATCCAAATCCAAATAGGGAAGTACATCTGGGACAATAATACTCCAAAACACAGCTATTCGATGGAGGAAGATACTTGGAAAGCAGCAATGTTGGAAGAGCTGTGAGTGACACTGGAAGGCAAACTAGATATGAACACACAGTGTATTGTGGCAGCAAAAAAACAAGCCAAAACAAAAAACAAGCCAGCATGATTTTGGGCTGTGCAGGTAATGGCATCATGCCACATAGCAGGGAAATGATAGTCCCTGTCTAGCAGCCAGATTCTGATATCCTTACTCATTTTGAATACAAACCTACTCTGTGAGTGGTCCCATTGAAATTAATGAGAAAACTCATGGAATAAGGTGCTAGTCAGTATGAGTAAGGATATTAAAACCTGGCCTTAAATTACTCTGGGAAATACCAGAGCCTTAGAAATAGACTCAGTTCTGGATACCGCAGTATGAAAAAGACATTGAAAACCTGGAGAGAATTCAGAGAAAAGCAACAAAGCTATCTGAGAGGCCAGATCCACTGACATATGAGAAAGGATGATTTAGTTGGGGATTGGTCCTGCTTTGAGCAGGGCGTTGGACTAGATGACCTCCTGAGGTCCCTTCCAACCCTGATAGTCTATGATCCTATGAAAAGTGAAATATATTATATAAATATTGTTCCTGTAATGGCTCGCTCAATGTCAAGACCCAGTGACAATAACAAATGTAAAACAGAAAAAGAAAAAAAGACTGTCACATACTCATTTGGTTGCCATTTAAAAAAATTATTCTCAATATTTTGAGAGGAAATGTCATGTAATAGATATTAACCAGTTTATACTTTTTGTATATAAATAGATTGAATAGCCTGTGTTGTTTTATTCAAGTAAATGTTATGCTTTTATTCAAATGTTTGGATAACAGCAAAGTACAAAAAATCTCAGCAAAACATTTAATAATATAGCTATTTTAGAGGTTTATTTAAATTTTTATGTCAAAAAATATTTTCTTGTTGATGAGGCCACACAGCAGATAGTCTTATGCCCAAGTCCTATTATAACACTTAAAATTAATGAGTACCATTCAAATACATGGGGCCAGAGAGCACTTTCTACAGAAAAACTCTTCAGGAAAAGGGTCATTCCTTTTGTACAGCACCAGTCCTCTCCTTTACTTGTCACGGCAGACACTCAGCTGGGGCTCCACAAAGTTTTGAGGGCAGGAAGGGGAGAAAAAGCAGGGACTCTGCTGGACTCCCTGTCTCTTCTCTCATCAACCCATAAATAGCCAAGTTGATGTGTGAGGAGACGTCTCCTCTGTGGCTCCTAATTGAGGCAAAGGCAAAAGCAGCAGAACTCCTGAGAGGAGATTCAGGCTGTGAGGATGTGGGCCAGAAGAGTGGTACACAGGCACAGCAATCCTTGCAGAATGAATCTTATATCTGTGGATCTAGATGGGAAGGCTCCCTTTTGTACAGATCCTCAGAGGGCATGCATGGGATTTAGACCTGTCACACCTGCCTACTTCACAGGCCCTCCAAATCCCTTCTCCTTGAGGATTTGTTTCCCAGTACAGTGGTTCTCAACCAGGGGTACGTGTACCCAGAGGTCTTCCAAGGGGTACATCAACACCTCTAGATATTTGCCTAGTTTTACAACAGGCTCCATAAAAAGCACTGGCGAAGTCAGTATAAACTAAAATTTCATACTGACAATGACTTGTCTATATACTATACATTAAAATGTAAGTATAAGATTTATATTCCAATTGATTTATTTTATAATTATATGGTAAAAATAGAAAGTAAGCAATTTTTCAGTAATAGTGTGCTGTGATACTTTTGTATTTTATGTGTGTTTTGTAAACAAGTAGGTTTCAAATGAGGTGAAATTTGGGGGTACGGAAGACAAATCAGACTCCTAAAAGGGGTACAGTAGTCTGGAAGGGTTGAGAGTCACTATCCCAGTAGACCACAGGTTTCTCCAGAGGATTTGAACAGTGCAGATGTTAATGAGTAAAAGTCCAGTAAACTACCTTCTCTGATCTCCAGCTTGTGCCATTCTATATGTACTATTACCCCTTAATTGTCCTACATGCTTGGCTGCTTCCTCATTCCAACTTTTCCCCCCTTTACTGTGCTATAAACCTGGGCCAGCTCTTCCACTACTGCCCATGTATGGCAGTCATATGTGGTTTCTTCTCTCATGGTTTCTCATCAACACCTTCTCTGAGGGACACACACTGTGTCTTCCAGCTGTTTGCCTTCACCTGTATAGTAGTAGGACTCTGGTGAATTCCCCTCTTCTTCTATTTTACCTAATTTTTTGAGGGTTGAAAGGGTGAGAGGAGATGGAAGCTTCTCTCTTATTTTCCTCATTTGTTTGGATGAGGAAGTGCCCACCAAGTTTTTGTTGTGATTGGAGCAGCACCAAAATACTCTTTATGCCTTATATGTGTATCTGGTGCAAAAAGAAATACTGCTCTGACTGGCTCTCAACTACCAATTTCAGTGAAAAACTGGAACCTGTCCTTGAAGACCAAGAGACTAGTCTGGAAGGACTTAAAAGAAGCCAGGTGATTTGTCCACCCTCAACCATATGCCTGTAGGGATAGGACAGCTGTTAAGGCAGCATATTCAGATCTGGGGGAAATGGAGCATTATAGCTATCAAGCTATTCAACTCACACATGATGCTGAAAAGCTTACACGGGACAAACACGTAGGCACTCGGGTAAAAAGATGGTTATCTTCAGAGTACATCAGTAAAGTGTGGGGATCCTCAGGGCTATGAGAGGAACTTAAAGGAATCACCTGTGAGGATGAGGTAGAGATAAATTTGAAATTGGACTGGATGTGGGAAACACGT